TGTTTCTGTCTTTACAACGCAAAGATACTGCTCATAAATAGTTAAGTATTTTATGAGGAAAGGAACAAAAATCTGTATGGTAAGCTGTTGGATATTATTCAGTTAATAGTTTTCAAAATGATCCCTTGCTGAGCTTTCCAAATAAAAAAGATCACTTATAAAATTTATCTCTGTTTTTATATCCCAGTAGTACTGTATGTGTTACATCCCAGTAGCTCACCATGTGTGTTGATGCTACATACTACTTTCCTGTTCCACAAATTTATGCCATTATGATATGCACTTGCTATTATTGTATGTATACTCATTAAAGAATAGAAAATATAGTAGTCTTACTGAATGTTAAAACCACAGGGGCTGATAGTCAGAAAATACCATTTAATTGTGAAACACTAATGCCTTTTATTACCATTTTAACTAAATTCATTTTTTAGAAATATGCAGCAAGAATGTAATGCCATCAACATAACTTAATATTCGGTACTTGCGTGTTAATGGAGAAAAAGCCAAAAGAGTGAATAGTTACCAACTTTGGCACCGTAATACAAATTAATCACTATTGTAACCATTTGATGTAACTAAATTTTAAGAATGTCTATATATATATATATTTTTAATTTGAGACTATTGTTCGATCATGTGTCTGTGGGATCTACAAAACAATAAATGTTTTGCTATTTCTTTACAGTCAAAAGTCGTTAATCCGGGCTCGTCGGGACTTCGGCGATTCCGGATTATAGATCATCAGTTTAAATCTCGTAAGATGGCATGCAGAAATTATAAAATTAAAAATATGAAACCGTAATTTATGAAATAAAGAACAATTATGATCTAAAGGGTATCAAAATTTGCAAAAAGAAAAAGCTTAATATTTATTTGTTTACTTAAATAAACATTTCTTTCAGTGTAAGTTGTTTAAGTTTTGCTTCGTTTCATGTGATAATACTTTCTCTTTAATTCTATTAAACAGACATAATTTCTTGTTCAGTTACAAAGTTCCACTGTTCAAGTCCTATAATTGCTGTGTCAAGAACACCGACTAATTTGTCAATCGGAATTCTTTTGTTTTCAATAACCTCTGTCCTTTTCTTCGCTATCGGAAGCAAATTATAATGACGAAGAACTTGTTTTAATTCATATCAAAGACGGAGCATATCGAGATGAAATACTACATTTGGTAAGGAATTATAAGCCAAATAAAATAAAAACATCTGCGCTGAAGATAAGGATAGTGCTGACAGATCAACTTCCAATTCATTACGCGCCCGCCGTGGCATTCCCCCCGCCGAGCAGCGTGAAATTGATAAACAAATTTCGGATTTCAAAACATACTTTCGCTTTAGATCCTTTATATATCAGAAATTCTATTTGATATAATCGAAAGTTTAAGCTTACTTTTATAAAATTGCTCTTACAGTCTGCAAAAAATAATAAGCCGGATCCAATTCGAAAATTAAGGAACAACGCAATCATCAACATTAACTGAAATAGATAATTAGATAATTTTAGCTTATATGTCCATTATACATAAAACGCGCACGCGAAAACGTATTCTGCACTTGCGCGCACTTATATGCGCAGTCGTAAAAGGTCTTACGCGCACGCATAAACGCCTATGCGCATGTGTCAACGCGCACGCATGCGCAGAAAGTTTTTAGTTTTGAGGTCCGGATTATAGATAATTCCGAATTATGGGTGTCCAAATTAACGACTTTTGACTGTACTATGTTTTGCTATTGATCGAATATGGAGTTTCAAAATGGTCGAACAATAAATGTAAGGATACAGCAACACAACATTTGAACTCATACTTAGTAGATTTCATTTGGTGGCAGAAAGTTGTGCTTCACCCTTTGAAGCTATTTTAGAAGCGATTGCCAAAAATTTTCACCCAAACTAAAGAGAAACTAACTGTATCAAATTACCACCAAAGTTAGCCAGTCCTTCTCCATTAATAGGTAAGTACCTATTTTTCTTCTAAACTGCCATCTAATATCAATATTTAGTGTTATCAGCAGCATTGTACAAAATCAGTATATTGGCATTAAAATACCAGTAGCACTGAGTAAGATAAGTTTATTTGAATGAAAGTGTTTCTTCCAGTTAGAAAAGTCCTTCCATTTCAAATATTGACCACGTTATTATGCTGCCAAGAATTTCTTTAGTAACTATTTAAAGTCATACAAGTAAGTGGAAAAGTAAAATCTTATTTGAGCATATTGGGACATACTAGCAGATCTCCCCCCTGCACAAGTATGGCCTTTAATGTTCCAAGTTTTCTGAACATGTAATTAAAAAAATAACCAGCTGCCGTAATGTTGTAAGAAAGGGATTAAAAGTGTGAATTATGCAGTATTTGACAGTGCTGTTTTGCTACTTTTTAAAATTTTGGGTTGTTTCTTAGGACTCCTGATAAATTCATCAGTTAAAGTAAAATAATAAATGAATAGATACATATAGAATTTTAATTTGCATGTTTGTGTTTCAGTTTTTTTTTTTTTTTAATTATTTATTTTTTTTTTTATTATTTTTTTATTTTGACTATAAATGTACCAAGTTGTATATTTCAGTGATCAGTTGCTCACATTTTATAAAAAGTCTGTTTAAAAAAATATACATTCTCCTTTTCAATACCTACTAATTAACTTGATAATATGGAATGCTACATAAAATTTTAGTCATAAAGATAAGGCCCATATGACAATCAAACACATTGGAGAAACAGTATGTCTATTATAGCTGTCAAAAAGTGATACAGTTTTAGTGAATTCAATGAAAGTATGAGGTTGACAGCTGTGATTTGTGTACTAGACATAAATTCAATAGTGATATCACTTTTCTCTTAGTCAATAGTGGAATCAAAATGTCAGATCTGTGCTTTCTTTACGCAAGAGACAGAGATGAAGTGGATTTAATGTTAGAAAAAGCAGATACTTGAGAAAGGACAGATGCAGCTGATCTTCCAACTTGACATTGTCCATTTTCTGTAAGCACTGCTTATTTGTGCGAGTTCTTTTGAGTGACAGAGTGAACAATCGCTCATATAAATGAAACTTAAGCAGTATGATAGTTTGAATAGCAATTGTGAAATATGTTAAATTGTTGGGCAAGTATTTGAAACTTATTATATCTTTTTTTTTTCCCTCATGCATGAAAATTTGGCAGTTGTGAGTTTGACTGATGATAATGCTTCTTTTTTCAAATCGGTTTTATTCTAGGATAAAAAATATTTCTTGCTGGAATTAAGGAACTAATCTAAATTATACCTGTTTATAAATGGTATCTAAGTGTAAAGATCTACTTCATTGGAAAAGCTCGTTGTTGAATTAAGTTTGATTGTATATCTTTTATCATTTTGTAAGACCCATTCAATATGACAGTAATGGACGTTATTCTGGAGTAAGTTTTATCATTAGCAAGCAATTATTTTTTCAGCTTTTGTTAAATGCATCTGCAGTTATTTAGCATTTCCTATTTATTTATTTAAATATTGTGTTTCCATTGTAAAAAAAATACTTTCAGATTGTATAAAATGCAGGTTTTTCTTTTTGTTGTTTGTTTGTTTTGTTTTGAGGATCACACCTTTTATTGCACACTTTAAGAAACTTACTTAACTATTTCTGTGAAACTATATCCAATAATTAAACTTCAGCTCTTGGTATGAGTTTAACTGCAAGATATGTAATATGTCTTGCCAGATTTTTTTTAGTTATTTTTGTAATAGGACCCCTCCCCCCCAAAAAAAAGGAAGAAGAAGCCTCTGTTGTTTCAGTATTTTGATCTTTCTAAATTGGGAGCTCCCAGCAAGATCAGTATATGACCCACTAGGTTTCAGTGAAATTTTTGAGGGGATCAGTGATGATTAAGGGGTTGATTGTTGACCGATAGCTGAATATGCACCTTTGATAGGTGTAACCAAGATCCCGTTGATTACAAAAAAAATTTTAATTGATTATTAATTCTTGCTGATATGAAATTATATTGTGTAGTAAGAAAGAAATCATATAAAATAAATGTAATGGGGGATACCTAAAAATTATTTAATATTTTTTAAATCAGTAATATTTTTCTTTTAAATATAAAAATTTTTATGCAAAGTGCAATATAAAAAAGTAAAACACAGGAATGCAAGAAAACACAGCCAGAAAATACAAAGAGTTCAAAACTTCCTCCAAACATAAGTTATGTATGAACCAGCTGCAAAGCTTAAAAGAAAGTTTTAATGTTCTTTTCTAAAGCATGAAAGATTTGAATGTGCCAGCATGGCTTATAGACCAGTGAACTATGATATATTTGATTTTAATATTATAGTGCAAGAATAGTTGATTGCATTGAACGATATTTAAGCTCAAGTGAAGCAAGGATATGCTAAGTTTCGAAATTTAAAAGTTATCTCAGAGAAAGATCCCCAAATAGCAGTTGTTACTGAACCAGCATTATTGACTACTTCCTCCTCTTACTTAACTAAAGCAAGCCTTAGTAATGTCACCAGTTTGCTACTGAAAACAAGAAACAGGTTGAATATTTTTGAATGAGGTGATTTAAGAATTAAAGAGTTTTTATGTCAAATATTAAAAAAAAATTGCATCAGTTCTTTAAGTCTAACCATTGCATTAAAATCAAATTGTTCTGCAATTAGAATCTGACTTTTTCCTTAAAAACTTGGTTATATTTGTAAAATTAAATATAATAATTTAAAAAAATTATAAAACATAAATCTGCTAAACCTTTTTTTCAAAGCTTTTTTTTTTATGTTTTTAATCTAATTGTTCTCTATAAGTTATTTATGTGCAATTATTATTTGTATTATGATTGTAATGTATGCTATATATTGTAGAGAAGAATGTAAGGGGTCGATGAAAATACATTCCTTTGAAAGGGATCAATATAAGAAAAATGTCAAGAACCTCTGTTCTAAATAATAATGAATTAATTTATTAGGCTGTTGAATGTGAGTTTCAGTGAAAACATTGACATGAAATTAGTTTTTCTGTTTCCAGGTTTATGCTGCTGGTGGTATCGGAAGCATTGTAAGGGTGCTCACAGATAAGAAAAGAGTTTGACATAGTATTATGAAGAATTTATCATTAATTTTATATTATAGACTTTTGTACATTTTCTAATATACTAAATTTGTTAAAGTTCTTTTATTTGTAAGCAGGTACATGATTAAGGGAAAAACGTTGTAAAAAAATAACTCAATATAATTGAAATTTTCGATGTCAGGATCATTGTATTGAAAATATTTTTCTTGGTTATAAACAGTGAGGTTACTATGTAAAATGAAATATTTCATTTCATATTTTTTCCCCTGTGTCTGTAGTTTGAATTCTTTTTTGCTTCATTTTCCGTATATTTCACTTTTTCTCAAAATTGTAAAATCATGGATTATTCTCTTTTAGTTACAACAGTATACTTGACTGGCAAATTGAATTTATTGTATATTTAAACTATACCCCTCCTGTACAGTAATTACCCACAACAAAATGTATGCTGTTAAGCTTTTTGTGTTATGTATAAGTGTTGAAGTGCAAAAAACAAAATAATTATGCATTAATATATAGTTCTTTCTTATTTTGTGTTATTTAATTATTCTGTCATATGTAGAAATATTGTGATTTTATGAAGAAACTTATATTTGTGCATGAATCAAAATGTATTACTATTTGAAACTCTTAACACTTTTAATGTATAAGGAAAAGAAAACTGAGTTTCTTACATGTTTAGCTTTGTAGTTACAGAAACAAATATCATATTGTATGTAAAAACCATTCTTGTCTGAGTGTACATAAATATTACATTGCTTGTAATTTTAGTAATGTGCAGGAGATCTATCCTGCTTTTGATTCTAAACTTTTGGCTAGTTGGATTTTTTTTTTTTTGTTTCATTTAAAGGATAATTAATGCATTTGCTTTAGAACATGATAATACTTTGTAGAGCTTAATTTTAATTTCATTGAAACAATCATATGTGTAGTAATTTTTCTGTGTACTGTTTGGTTATGTACTTAAGAAAAGGAAAGTGCAAATTTTCATTAGAAACCTGCACTTTCTAATTTTCCATTTATTAATTCGTTCTTGTGAGGAAGTGACACAGTTCGATAAATTATAAAAGATTGGTAATATCAGTAGTACCAGTCCTCACCAACGTTTTCAAGTGAAAAGTTTCATTGTTAATGTACTCTTTCCTTCAAAATTTTTATAGATACAAGAGCATAATACAGAAGATAGTTTTTTAAAACGTTGTAATGATTATATCATCTATAAAATGCTTTCAAAAGCTAGATAATCCTCTAACTTGAAGGAAGTACTCAAAATTTGTGAAACAAGACCTTGAAAAAGTGATGTTTAGAGAGAAAAAGCAGTGTATCATAATAATCGCAAAATAAAAACAGTTGGATATGGCTCACAAAACGATAATAGGTATGCAAGATCACGTGTGAGAAGATACTCATAGCATTCTAAACAAAGCTTCCAGTAAAATCGGAGGGCCTAACAAAATGATCTTTTTTGTTATCAAAATCAACAAAAATGTATAACAAACAAAAAATATCATGTCGAAAGAAAACATATATCAGGTTGGATGTATAGTAAAGTATAATTATACTTATATTTTTATTTTCCCAATGAAAAGAGAAAATATCTCAAAAGGAAATATGAAATTGTCATCGCAGGTGAACAAATTATTGGCTTCAAAATGTAAATAAAGAAAAGTGAGCAGACCTGTTCTGTAAACCTTAGGTTGCATAGGGTTTACCTTGTTTTCCCTGTATGTAACATAAAAAGTGAGCCAGTTCCTCTAAATAATTTTTACACAAAAGTATCCTTTTTCTTAAGTAAATTGGTTTAACATGCTTTGCCTTAACTCATCGAAGAAGCAAAGTTCCTCCCCCCCACCCGGCATTCATAGTAATTTGCAAAACCCTATTGGTAAACATTTAAAATAGAGTTTCAGGTAATTTTTTAATCAAATTTTGTAGTTAATCTTACAAGGAACTGGAGTGCCATCTCTCATAAGCATCATTCTGAGACCTGTATTTAGATTATAAAATAGACAGTTTTTAACTGTTGATCATGAGACAGAGCAAATGGTAATTTCTTCTTTCTTTCAATGATGGGAGTTTTGTTAAAAGGAAATCTCTAAAAATTTACAACATTCATAAAACTTAAGTCTGGTTTTAACTTCTATTTGTCTTTTGTGAATATTTCTAAAATGTTTTTAGAAATACTTTTGCTTAGACATGTCCTTAGTCAGCTGTAAACTTCTAGTTGCCTTTTTGGAGGGGGGGAAGTATTTCTAAAAGGCTTTTAGAAATGGTTTTGCTTAGGCATGTCCTTTATAGTTAGTACCAAGTTTCTTGCATAGTTTAGAGATGTGATTTTCATTTGTTTTCTTTTTCTTTCTTTTTGTTTATTTGTTAAATAGAACTGTTTTTCATTTGTTCTTAAATTTATTGTTCATTGCTGATATACGTGCATTCTGCATTGATGTTTATAAACCTTCCTTACCTTAAAATTTATTGCTCATTGCTGATATACGTGCATTCTGCATTGATGTTTATAAACCTTCCTTTCATCATGTCCGAAAACTGACTACAGAAGTATATATATGTAAGATAAGAAAAGTAAAAGTTAAATTTATTTCCCCCCTTCAACTCTAAAAATAGTAATCCCTTTTTCTGAACAGCATCATTTCTAGATTAATGTATATCATATGACTTACACTGATCATGTAAATGGAACTAAAGCAACCAATAATAATTTTACAGCACTATTAATTATGCAATCAAAGTGCATTGAGAACCAAACTGAATTAAGATTTCATCCTGAACACAACGCACTTGCTTTCAGCACTTTGTCCTAGCTGGACTGCCACCTCCTGCTGCTTTCGTATTGTAAATCTATCAAAAATGTAAACATTTTGAAATAGACACAAGTGATGTGCCAAGTTCTTTGTGGCTGCTATATGAAATAAAAATGAAGATTTAATCTGCATCGGCTGCCAGCTTGCTGTTCATTACGGATTCAACATTTTACATTATATCCTGTCTATGTTTTTATGCCATCAATATTGCAGTCTTTTTATCGCACACACACACACATATATATGAAAGGTTGTAAATAATGTTAATAAATAGTACAGGTAAGTTATTCAACTTAAAAGCAAAATTCAGTTACATCTCTTCAATGTAATCGTAGTACTGTAGCTTTTGCAAAGGCTATGGGAGCTACCAAATGCTATGAAGAAGCTGGTTTCTGTGGATCTCAGTGATGGTATGGTGCCTATTTGGGATATGGATAAAATTAGGATGGGTCATACAGTTTGATGAGAATCCCTCTTCTGCAAGTTATTCTGCAGCAGCTGGACAATGGAAAGGAGGTGGCCCATAACTGCCACAGGCCACTTGGATTTTTCATCCATAGTCACTGGTAAAGATTTTCTAATATACTTAATGGGATGCAGATAATGCTTTTTATTTCAGTCACGCACAGCATCATCATCTTTCATTGCAGTGATTGCTTTTCACAACCCATGTAGTAAAACTAGCTTCATCTAACACTCCCTGTTACCTGCTAGTGTGAGTGTGCATGATCTTCCTTGACAGCATTGCTACCTTTATTTACAACCCATCTATCTTAGCATGTGTGATTGTTCAAGTGAAATGGTTCTGTTTATGTGATTATGGCAAAGCCTCGGCTATCTGCCTATGGGGAGAGATGTGTTTGTGGAGGACTTTCTAAGGCCGTATACACGTTGCACTTGGGGAAAACCACAAAAACAATCATGCAGCCTGCCTGTTCACAACCTCAGACCGAACTTCCAATGTTCAGCGGCTTGACCGCTCAGCTACTGGTGGGTCTGACATTAAATGACTTTTGTTGTGAATTTCTGGGGGTTAATAAGTCTGCCTTAAGTGATCCATTCAGTCCTACGTCCTTCTTCTACAAACTGAAAAGCTGTTTTGAAATTGTGTTACATTTTAAATTTAGAATTGTGTATATATATTTACTAAAGTAATATTGATTATATTATCTCCTAATATAAAATTAGTAAAGTGTATCTGAATGAAATAACCCAGAAGTATGAAATTTAATCCCGAAAATAATATTAAAGGAACTTGAATTTAAATCGTGAAAAATAGAAATGCAAACTTTTAATATGAAAATTAATAAACCAAGTAGTTATTGTCATTGATCGGAAATTAGTTGATATTTCAAGGGGAACAAACCAACTCCCGTTCAATTAACAATAATTAATAAATGCAAAGGTGTTTTGTCTTTTACTCAAGTAAGAATTTTGGGGCCAAATGGCAATTTTAGTTAAGGCCAAGCTTGTAAGTCAAATTTTAATTCAATTAGTGAGATGAATTAAAGTACTATAAAGAATCCATTTTGAATGTAGCTGTTCCGTTAAGTTAATGGATTTTATGGAAATCTTGATATATTATAGCAAATTGAGTAGGAGAAAAAATTTCTCTACTGGTGGTGTGGTGGTGGGGTATTTAATTATGGCAAAGCACACTAGGGCTATCTGCCTAAGGGGAGGGATGCCTTCGTGGAGGACTTTCTAAGGGAAACTGGCTCGTATACATGTTACACATGGGGAAAACCTCGAAAACGCCCATGCAGCCAGCCCGTTCGCGGGATTCGAACCTCGGACCGAACTACCAGTGTTCAGCGACTTTACCGCTCGGCCGCTGGTGGGCCTTTCTCTACTGGATATAGTAGTAATAAAATTTTTTTAAGTGTCCCCTGACACCCTCGCTTTCATGCATGTTAATTCAAATCTATTTTTATAAACATAATAAAACAGTCTTTGCTATATTTATTTCGAATTATAATTTATGTATTTTCAATTAATCTTTGAATATCTTTATCTATTTTGAATTTAATCTTTGCTATATTTATGAAATAGAAAAATCGAGATTTCTATAAAATCCATTAACGGAACTGCTACATTCAAAAATAAATTCTTTGTAGTACTTCTTTAATCTCACTAATTGAATTAAAACTCAACTTACAAATTTGCCCTTAATTGCCAGTACTAAAATTGTGAGTTTGGCATCAAAATTCTTACTTGAGTAAAAGACGAAACACATTCGCATTAATTAATTATTGTTAATTGAACGGGAGTTGGTTTGTTCCCCTTGAAAAGTCAACCAATTTCTGATCAATGGCGATAATTACTTGGTTTATTAATTTTCATATTAAAAGTTTGCATTTCTATTTTTCACGATTTAAATTCAAGTTCCTTTAATAATATTATTTTCGGAATTAAATTTCATACTTCTTGGTTACTTCATTCAGATACATTTTACTAACTTTATATTAAGAGATAATATAATCAATATTACTTTAGTAAATAAATTATTATTATATTTGCAGCTATTGCGCAAGTATTACGAAATTTATTACAATTAATTAATGCTTGTAAAGTCATTTAATTTCAAATTTGTAACATTTTAATAGTTTAAACTTTGACATAAATATAAGTATTCCACTGAAAATAATATTTGTAGCACTGTAAGTAATGTATATTATTTACTGTATTCTTAGCTCCTTTTGGTAAGAGGTTGGATAATCTGGTATCTATCACCAATCCTCACTGTAGAGACTGCTTGAAGTCATTCTGCTGATGAGCATTAGCAATTTGCAGTAATTGTAAAATACAGTATTAATATATTTTTTTAAGTAAAAATGATAGGCATGGGGTTGTAATTTCAAAGCAGTTGGTTCTGTGATACTTAAGTATGCAATAATAATTTAGATGGTAGTAGTAACGTCAAAATTGTATGCAGATGTAAGATTACTAATGCTTGAATAATAAAAACTGATGGTAAACAAAATATAATTTTTCAGAAATCCTCCAGGCCAGGAAAAAAATTTAAAGAAAATAATAGATTGATTGACTCTTGGGTAAAGTAACAAAATTTCTAAAATTATTTACTCTTCCAAATGGGGGGAAGT